CTGCCGGTGGCTCGGGAGCGTGGTGGGTCCCCAGGCTTTGCTCCCCGCATCGTGCTCCGGCCACGGGCTTGCTCCTCACCCCAGTTCCCAGCACTGCCGGCTCAGCCTCTGCTCATCCCGCGCTGGCTCCTCTGGTGACGCAGGCTTTTTTTTCCGGAGCTGGAGTGGGATGCTTCGAAAACGCTGCCACAAACTTCTAAAAAGTTACCTAAAAAGAGCTGGAGGCTTCATCAGCAAAGGCTCTGCCAGCCCCGACCTTCCCACGCCTCATCCTAGCCCCGCTCCCGGGCAGGACCTGCCGACATCTTCTTTTCCCGTTGCCAGCTGCAAAAGGGTTTTCACCAAAACCGTAACGGAAGCGTGGAAGGGCGCAGGCTGTTGCCCGGTTTCAGCATGTGTTACTCAAAAATGAGCGAGAAGTTTGGACATTACAAAAAAAAAATACAATGGGCTGATTTCTGCTCTCTGGCTCCGGGGCAATTCCTCTGGGATCCCTGGGGTTGTATCGGTGGCCAGGGAGCAGAGTTTGGCTCTCGCTAAGTGGTTTATGGGATTTTTAGTTTTCATTTAGCCAAAAAATAAGAAGGGGGAAAAAAAATTTCAAAGAAGTATTCGGTGTGGAAAAACAAAAGACATTCAACCCCCCCCTAAGCTGCCCAGAAAGGATCCCTTTGAGGGGACGGATGTGTTAAGGGGACGAGAAGGGTCCGGCTGCGGGAGGAGGGCTGAGCCAGGCACCTCGCGCGCGGCGGTGGTTTCGGGAAGGGAGTGCTGGGGGGTGATGCTCAGCACCGCCCCGGCTCCCATGGCTTGGTGTGCGCTGCCACAGGGTGTTCAGGGTGGAGGAGGTGGGCTCCTTGGCCATCGATGGGGTCTGCCCTGCCCGTCACCCTCTGCGAGTCACCCTCGAGCTGCCCGCCACCGTTCGGCGTGGGGGGGCCTGCTCAGCCTTCGCCCCGCCACTCGCCCTCCCTCCCCTCTCCCGCTGGGATGTGTGCCGGGCCCAAGGGGCAAAGCCACGGCATGGTTGTATTTTGGCACTAGCCCAGGCTGGATAAACACGTGAGCTGTGTGTGTTTCCCCATGGTTTTCACCCCATTGTAGAGTGTGGAGATCTTGTCTTCAGTTCTCCGTTCGCTGGTCTTCCGTCCGTCTTTTTTTTTTTTTTTTTCTTTGAGCAACTTGACTGAGGATCGCTCGGAGGAGCAGAGGTGCCAGGAGGCAACACAGGAAGGAAGGGAATGGCATGTTCATCCCTGGAGGATCGGGGACAGTAGCAGTGCCCATGTGGGTGAGAGTGGAGCTGTGATTTGGGAAGGGGCCGCGGGGAGCCCTCTCTGTGCCTGCTCTGGAGACCAGCCGTCCCTGGGAAGGAGCCGCCAGCCGTCAGGCTGCGGCTCCCACCCCGGTCTCCCACCAAGCCAGCCCAAATTAGTTGGATAAATCATCCCTGTGTTCAGCACCAAATGCCAGAGAACCTGTTGCCAAGGCTGGAATTTCTCACTTGATCCGATTAACCTTTGTGTCCACACAAGCCACCGCGTGCCTGTCACCAGCCGAACATGTGCCGGAAGCTTTTGCCAGGTCTTCTCGGAGCATCTGGGCCGCACGCGATGCGCGGTGCCCATTCCCATGCGGAAAGTCCCCAGGGGTACCTCAGAAGGACCGTTGGACCCTCACGTCCCATGTGTTGATGGCGTGGGCAGATGGGAGATGCTCCCCTGACCTCCGCTGTCCCTCTAGGCGCAGGGACAGGCGGGATAAGTCTGGATGCTCAGGGCATCAGCTCCGTTGAGTTAAACGATGCGAACGTGATCTCGTGGGAGGAACTGGGGGTGACGAGTCAAATCTGTGTTTTAAAAAAACCCATGTGCGGGGGAGAGAAGCGTTGAGCAAAGGTGAAGAAGGCACCGGTTGGCAATTCCCTTAGTGACGCTGCCGGTGCCCGGCTGAGCAGCAGCATCGTGTCCCGACCAAGCTCTCAAGGCTGTGGTGGTCCAGGGAATCTCCTCCCAAGGGCTTGATGCTCTCGTTTTGGAGGCTTGGAGGACTCCTTTCCCCCCAGGGCCATACACGGCATCTCCCAGTCTTCACTCCTGCTGTTGGAGGGGAGGAAGGAGCTTGAAACCAGCCGGGGGAGAGCCAGCCGCGCCGTGGGCTTCGTCCTGGCACCACCGAAGTGGAGGGGTGTCCTGCTGCCTGCTTCCCTTGGGAGCGAGATTGGGCCTTCTGCGATAATTCCTGATGTTCATTATTTATAGAGAAGCCAAATTGAATTATTAATATGGAAAATTCAGATAACATTAACAATTCTCAGTTTATAACAGTTTCCCATTAATAAGGAAAATTGGAAATTTATCACTACATCTGTTCGTTAAAGCTCGCTATTTTTTTTTTTTCTTTTTCTTTTGGTGTCTTAAATGAAAGCAGAGAAATAAACGAAGAGGAAAAGCCATTTATTCCCTACGTCTCTGGGCAAAGTCAGCCCATAATTTTTAATAAAGTCTTTGCCTTTATATGTGGAGGGGAAACCTGCCTATAATGAAAGCAGCTTTTCAGCCATGTCTATGGCGTTGCTCGACCGTAGAACAAATACTCGGAAACACATTCCCGTTTCTTCTCTTTCTGGGAACCTTTAAGCTGCACGCTAGTTTTCTAATTTCCCTCCCTCCCCCAGCAGCTCTCCTTGCTTTCAGCATGTGTTGCTCCCAGCTCCGAGGATTGAATTTTAACGCCTCCCCTGCTTCTTTCAGAGATGGCGGATTCCTATACCTGTAAAGGTGGAAGGAAAACTGCAGGCTCTAACAAACCCGCTGCCAGCAAAGAAAGCAGGACGGAGACGAGGATAAACCCGCCGGCAGAGCTGCCCAAGCTTGGTAAGGAACTGGTTTTTTCTTTCTGTGAAGGTGGATGGGGTGGAGGGGATGAGCCCAGGGGTTGGGGGGTGGCTGCTAAAACGAGGGGGTGCGAGTGCATCGGGTCTGAGCGTGCCTCTGCTCCTCGCTTCGACCCGCCAGTGAGGGCTGTGCTGGGCCAAAAAAGCCCCAGACCCTCGGAGCTGCGGAGAGCCGGTCCCTGGGAACAGGAGGGGAGGGATGGAGACGGCCTCTCCCTTTCGAGGGGCGTGTGTCTGGCTTAACGAGATGGGTGTCTCGCAGCCTATTTATCATGTTGGTAGCTAAGTGTTACATCAAAGGATGGAAAGGCTTAAATGAGTTCAGACCATCTGCCGTCTCCTGTGTCGCGGCCCCCGGGATGGTGGCTTGCAAGCGTACGAGCCCCGGGGGACCCGCTTGCTAAGGGCTGTCACCCTGATGGATAGCTGATTTCTCTATCCAGGAATCTCCCAGCCCAAGGAGATTTTTCTCCTGTCTGCTTATGCTGGGCAGATCTCCACTGCGGGCGCGGAGAGTCTCTGGCTGCCTTTACCTTGCAATCAGCAGCCCTGGATGCCGCGGGGTGCCTGCATCTGGGGCGAGGGTTGGACCCCAGAGATGTACCTCAGACCGGGCACCCAAAATCAGCGGCCCCGTGGGGAAATGCGTGTGCCCTAAATGTTTCCCAAATGCTGTTCTTCCCTTCAGGGGCTGAAGCTGTGATTGCTAACAGAGGGGTGTAAGTTATTGCTGAGGGGAATGAACTCCAGCTGTCTGCAGTATGAACATACCTGTGTTCGGGAGAGCATTTTTCCCTGCGCCACATCTTATCAGTGCCTTTAAAAATAGAAAAGCCCTATTTTTCAGCCCTTCCTTCTGGTTTAGGTGGGCTGAAAGCAATGAAGCGGAGTGAAGGACACTCCATGATGAAGATATTTTGTTCTCTCTGGGAAAGTGCTGGAGGTGGAAACGTCTGCTGGGGTTCACTTTGTTGAGCCAAATTAGGCATGGCGCAGACTGGGGAGATGGGGGCCTCTCCTGCAGTCGCTTTGCTGGGCCCCCTTGGACGCAGCAGCATGGTTGATGCAGGGAGCATCCTTTCCAAGCCAGGCCTTGTCCAGAGAAGCCTCGAGTCCATCGGCAGGCCATCCCGGTTTCTAAAGAGCACACCGTTTCCACCCGTCTGACTTGGCACACAACTGGGGTAACCTGCTGGCAGGGACACGCAGCCACGGTGCCAGCCGTGACATTGAGCACCATCAGGCTCGTGTCACCCGTGAGCACCTGTAAAGTCCAGGGTTTAGCAGAGCCAGTGGGCGGTAAGCCAGGAGTGGGATTTTGGAAGAGGAGAAATTATTTCTGCTCCTCCTGTCCTTGTCCTCGCTGTCCCCAGCCAGCAGTTGGTCAGCGAGGGCATTGAGGGGCGTCTGGACTGGGAGCTCTTGTGTTTGGCATGAAACGTCCCCAAAAGTTTTGAAACTTGTGCAGGTTGTGAACAGGAGAGGAGAGCTGTCACTGCATGAGCCATGGCCCTGGACGTGCCGGGCTCCTGGGGAGAGCTGCCTGGGGGGACGGGGACGTGCTGCTGTGGGATGTTTTGAATTTGGAATATTTCAAAGTGTTTAGGAGAGAAACCTGCTTATTGCTCTCTCCATTTTTCTGGTAACTGTAGTGTTGTGAGCTTTGGCTGCAAATCCTGTGTTATTTGGTGTTTTTTCATAGTCTCCCAGCTCATGGAGCCCCACCATGTGCAAGAAGCGTAGCTCTGTTCCACGTGCAGGGTGAGGCCCTCGCTCACACAGGCGTGGAGGAAAAGCCTGAGCACGTGCTCTAAGAGCAGTGGAGAAAATACGAAATGCAGAGGGGAGCTGCGATGTACAGCCATCCTTCGCGGGCACTGCGAGGGTTTTGAATGAACCCTGCACAGTTGCTCCAGAACCAGCACGGTTTGGGGCCAAGCTTGCAAAATCCTCCCCTCTCCTTAGGGCCATGAGCCGTTTTGGGGCAGGAGCCAGGCAGGTAGGAGTCCAGACCAAACAGGGTGGGTTTGGGTCGGCTTAGAGGCTGCCTTGCAGCAAGGGGCAGGCAAGTGGCTTCTTAGGGGCTTTTCCTTACGGTCCATAAAGGTCACCACCTCCTGCAGACGAGGCCTTCTGGGCTAGAGGGCTTCCCAAAGGATGCTGTATCACCAAGGGATGCTTTTACAGGTAACAAAGTGGAGCAAACCAGCTGGCGTGACTTCAGGGGACTGGAAATAAATGAGTCTTGCTTGCTATTTTACCCCTGGCTGCTGGGGCAGAAGCCATGAAAAGGGAGAGAGTGTGTGGTTTTGGCGGTGCCTTTGTAGGTAACTGGTTGGCTTTCTGTTTGATCTTTCTCCCTTGTTGCAAAAAAAATCCTGGATTGGCTTCTGGATGCAGCCGGCGCCAGGCTTGAGCTCCAATTTCTCAGGAGCTGGAGGGATTGCCAGCTCAGCTTCCATTCTATTCTTCTTACCTGATTTTCACCAGAGAAGGGTGTTTTACGTGTTGAATTTAGTTTTTTTTAATCTCAGTAATCCTCTCTTAGCTGTTCTGGCCTTTCCTTCTCAAGGATGCTTTTTGGCTTGTTTCTATTCTCGTAGCAAATGGCTTTTATTCCCAGCCCTGTTCATTAAGCCCACCCAGATCTCAGTCTCAGTTGTCTGTACACGGTATTTCCCGTTGTCCTCTTGCATCTCTCCAGTTCGTCTTTGGGTTACACTGACTCCCAATATTACTTAAAATTACAGATTAGCCCTTAAAATGCAGCGTAAGACCTGCCAGGAGCACAGAGGCATGGGGGGCCGGCGTTGGGCGAAGGGACCGAGGTCTTGCTGGGGCTCCCCAGACCCGTGGGATGACCAGGGTGCTCTGTTCCAGCTTGGAGTGATGGGAGGTTGGATATGAAAGTGGATTGTTTTGGCGAACTGCCCTCAGCCCCTGCATACAAACCCCAGTGAAAGTTATCGTGGTGTTTGTACCACTTTGCTCAATCCATTTTGGGTGTGAAATAGGTGAAATCAGGGAGTTTGCTGACATTGTGAACCGAAGTGTCTGGTCTGGGGCTTGGCAGTTTTAATGTGTTTGGTGTGCCCTGTCATGCGACATCGGAGACTTTGTAGTCTCCCCTGGTTGCAGAGTCTGGTTGAATTGGGCCCATTTCTGCCCCGCTGGCATTCAGCTCGTGCTCAGGATGCCACAGGAGTCTGCTCTGAGCACACCCAGAGCCGTGACCCCTCATGAAGGCGTCCCCATGGCTTCTCCTCCCAACCCAGATCCCCCAAGCACTGCCTTGCCCAGTCCTCATCCCCCCAGGCATCCCCATCCCTGCTGCTCCCCGTGTGCTTGTCACATCCCCTGGGCCAGTGTCCTCCTGCAGCCCTGGGGCTGCCCGGCCACACCAGCCCTGCAAAGGGGATGGGGGATTTCTGCGCTCGACAGCCTGCCCAGGGCCCAGCGTGCTGACCTGGGCGGAGACTTCTTCTGCTAAGAAGTGTAGTTGTTGAAGGATTTCTTCCAACCCAAGTGGAAGGATGGTTTTCCAAAGCAAGCCCCAGCTGTGCTGAAACCGCTCTGCGTAAATGAAAGGAGGGGGGATTGGCAAACACCAGGAGAAGCAGCCAGCTCCTGTGCAGGGGCTGAGCACTGAATTGCAGAGGAACTGGCATTGCCTGCCAAAGGGGAATCTCCGTCCTTGCCAGGGCAGGGACACGGCAGCCCAGAGCCAAGGCAGACCCCGTGCAGAGTGAGGGAGCCAGCCGGGCAGCGGGAGGCTGGGGCCGGGCAGCAGGATTGCCGGGACAGCGGCTCCTCCGGCAGGGCTGGCCGGACGGTGACGTGCGCTGCGTCTGTTTGCAGGAAATGCAACCAGTGACAAAACCGAAGGCAGGAAGAAAGGACGACCCAAGGCCGAGAACCAGGCGCTGAAAGACATCCCCGTAAGACCCCACGCGCTCTGATCCCCAATGGTCTCCCTGCCTCGCTCCCTCTGACGGGCCCTCCGCGTCTTGCCGCACTGCGCGCTCCAGCCAGCCCTGCTCCGGGGTTAAACCTGCCTTCCTGGTGGTTTAATCTTCAGAGCAGCCTTGTCTTGGACTCAGCAAGGTCTTGGCCCCTGAATCCCTTCCATGCAAGCACCCAGCATTGTCCAAAACCCTGGCGGGGAACAGTACCCCTCCTCCAGCCTCCCTTTCTCAGGACCATTCCCAGATGAGCTGGATTCTCTCGCAGCCACATCAGGTTTGGCTAATGATCCGGCAGCACCAGCAAAGGGGTGATTTATTCCCCGCAGAGTTGTGCAGTTTAATTCTAGCACGGTAGCGTGGACAACACACAGAGCAGTTTGTCATGAGAGCATGGGCATGGGGTGATTTATTGACTAGATGAAATGTGGAGTGGTTAAATCACCCGGGCAACTTCTGGCCTGATTTATTCCCCAGCCTGGCTGGGAGCGTGCGTGTGCTCTGGGAGGCACAGCAAGGTAAATTCTCAGGAGGAAGCATTAGCCTGTAAGGCCTGCAGCATGCAGCTCCATCCCAGCACCTCTCACAGAAGGGAGCACCGCTGCGCTGAAACACAGCCCTGGGGTCCACTTTGCAGCTGCACGATGGGAATGGGGTGGGGGAGGTGGTCCCATGTGCCCCCCTGGGCCCTTTTGGGATGCACCAGCACATGGTGATCTTTGCTCAGCTATGTCTCTTGTCTCTCCTGTTCCCAGCTCCCCCTGATGAACCAGTGGAAAGATGAATTCAAAGCCCACTCCAGGGTGAAATGTCCCAATTCAGGCTGCTGGCTGGAGTTCCCCAGCATTTATGGCTTGAAGTACCACTATCAGCGCTGCCAAGGGGTAAGGAGACTGGAAGGCTGCATGTCCTTTCCAGTGGCCAGCTCTTGCGCTACCATCTACAGGGTAAAGCCCCCTCTCAGGTCTTAAACCCCAGGAAAAACAAGAGATTAAAATGGGGAGGGCACAGATGGGCCAGGGAGAGTTTGTGAGGTGTGTATGAGAGGGACTCAGTGTGAGGTCTGGCCCGGGGGCATCATGGACCACTGCGTGAGGTGACTGGAGGGGCAGAAGGGTATTGCACACGATTTGTGTTTGTGCCTGCATCAGAAAAAGCCTGTTCCTTTTGTGGTCTAACGTCTGTTCCTACCTGTCTTTCCCTGCTCCGCACAGGGTGCGATCTCGGAGAAGCTGACCTATTCGTGCTCCTACTGCGAAGCTGCCTTCACCTCCAAAACCCAGCTAGAAAAGCATCGGCTCTGGAATCACTTGGACCGGCCAGTGCCAACCAGCAAAGCAGAAAACAAAGTGCCGAAGGCCATTGGGAAGAGCAGTGGCAAGAAAAGGTACTAGGCTGTGGCTGGGCTGTGTGGTGGTGGCGTAGGGACGGCTGGGAGATGGGGAACGTCCCCGCCTCCATTCCCATGATCTGGGCTGGCGAGGCGGGAGAGGTGTCAGGACGTTTGTCTAACAACCCCTCTTTAAACAAGCCCTCTGTGCTTTGCCCTAGAGCTGCTGAGAGTTCAGCTTGCCCCACCATCCATCCCAAACAGGCAAAGACGGAAAAAGCCGTGGCCCAGGACCATGCCGAGAATGGCGAGTGCCCGGCGGAGAGCCGGGAGAGCAAGGAGTTTCAGATCGCAGCAGCCGAGGCAATGGCAGCCGCCACCCCCACGGCGAAGTCCTCGAGCGGCAAGGATGCCGTGCAGCAGGGGGGCAGCCAGGCCTCGCTGCAGGAGGAAGACCCCGAGAGGATGAAGCACAGTAAGATTAGAGCCTGGGGCTATGCTGGTTCAGGAGCCCAGAGAGGGGTGTCCCATGGGAAGGGATGGGGCTCTGTTCCAGCCAGCGCTGCTGTGAGTGTCTCTCTGAACGTATCCAAGCCTTTTTTCAACATCCTGATAATTTACACACACCCCCAGTTCCTTGCAACAGCGAGTTCCACTGAAAGTTAAAACCAGGTTGCAGTTGTGCTAGAGGTATTTCTGTAGGACCTATAGGTTTGGAAATGGATTGAATTCCTTGCAGCATAGCAAGCAGCCGCATCCATCCATTACCATTGCAAGGCCATGGTTGTCCCTATCATGGCATGGGTTTACACCACGTGCAACACCAAAGTGAGCCACCACCAACCAGCTTAGCTGCTGAGGCTGTGGAAGCCACACGGCTTTTGGCACTAGACAGACCCACCACTTCCACTCATTGAATTAGCCCTGGATACCCTTATTTCTCCAGGTTTTGTGGGGTGGGATGCAGCATTCTGTTACTGTTTGGTGGGTGCTTCATTCGACAGCCCCTGTATTTCACAGTGATAAAGGCCTCCTCAAGGTGATCCACTCCTGACGTGGAGTGTGTGCCCACCCCATGCCCGGGGACTGCTGAAGCCCTGCTGGCAGTACAGTTATTTGACCAAATCTCTCTCTCTGTTTCTCTCTTTTGAGTCAGGAAGGAAACAGAAAACTCCTAAGAAATTTACGGGGGAGCAGCCGTCCATCTCGGGGACGTTTGGACTGAAAGGTAATACAGGGGCGACTCTGGTCAGCTGTAGGGTTGTAGCTTCTCCCTGGGGCATTTCAGGGAAGCCCCTTCCCCAAGAGCCCTCCCTGTGGTGGAGATACGTGGGAGCCACCTGCAGCCTGGGGATATCATGCTGGAGGAGCTGGTGCTTTTGACTTTGAGAGTGTTGGAGGGGGAACAAAAGGCGGCCTGCCTGCTCTGCTCGGGAGCCGGTTGCTGGGAAATGAAGGAAGAGGAGAAAGGATCTGGGCATGTCCAGCTGTAACACAAGAGTAACGAGCTGCTGACACAAGCAAGACATGAGAAACATCATCTCATCGTCATACCACCATCATCCTATACCACCGTCACGGTATTTCCAATAGTGTCGAAAGGATTTCTGCTGCGTAGAAAGGCTGGGTGACGTGTCCATCCCTCAGATGTTGTCTCCAATGCTGGTCGCCCACATTCCAGAAAATGAATTCAAGGGGGAAGAGATGTGTTACCAGGATGTTTTGTAAGAGGAGGCTGAGGAGTTGGCTGCTTCAGCCTGGAAAAGCAAGAGCGAGTGGGACTGTGGTCACGCTCCAGAAATATACCCAACGGGGCTGGAAAGGAGGGAGGAAACCTGGAGCATCCCTGGCGTGAAAGCAACTGGATTCAGACTGGCTATGAAATACGTTCGATCAGGGAAACAAAAAGGCAGCACCTTCCAGTACAAGAGGCGCTCGGGGGAGAGGCCCTAATGGCTTTGAAGGAATTGAACACTTACCGAGGATCAGGCTGGATGTGGTCTCTGCGATTTCCTTGCTCCTGGGAAGTCTGGGGTTGTTTTTCTTCCCCACAGAGGCACTGCTGTAGACTGAAACGTCTGCTGTGGGTTCCTCGAGAAGAAGCTGGCCTCCGCAGTGACCCCCCGCATCAAACGGAGCGTGGATATCGGGCAGGCGTTTGCCTACATCCCCGGGTTCAACGTGGCAGTTGGCGCCCCGGAGACAGAGGTGCCACCAGCCCCTCATGGGGTGCTGTCTCCACTCAGACCTTGGCTTTGCAAGAGTCACAACCCACAAGTTCAGGTGGACGTGGACCCTCGTGGGGCAGGTCTGAATCTGACCCTGGCACTCACCGCATTTGCCTCCAGCACCTTCTGTGGAAGCGCAGGCACAGGGCTGAACTGCACATGGATTTTGGGGGGAGGGGGTGGACCCAGGCACCTTCCTCTCTTCTCCAGCTGAAGCGTCTTTTACAAGTCACGTTTTCCATTTCTTATGTCAGCCCAGGAACTGCCGAGGGATTCTGTGTGACAGAGGGGGATCAGGCAGCACTGCTGCTGCTGGCATGCTCTCAGCACGTCCTGACCCTCCTCCTGCTCGCTTGGCCCAGCTCAGTGCAGGGAGGATGCTCCGGCAGTTGGCAGTGGTGCCTTTAGCAGGCTGAATGGGAAGCACACACTTTGCCCGTGCAGTCATGCGGGGATGAGACACGGACAAGGTGGGAGGGTAGATGCATTCGGGAGAAGCTGGCTGAGCTCCAGGTGCTCTGCCGGCACGGAGAGCCCTGCCTCCGGGGTCCTCTCCGCTTTGCAGGCGGGCATGGTGACAGTCACCAGCACCCCAGGGTAGCTGCGCCAGGTTTCCTCTTCCCTGTGCGCCTGTCGCCCGGTCACCCCTCCTCTCCTTCTGTTACTTCCTGACCCTGCCCGGCATCCAGTGGGCCTGGGAGAGACCTGTGTTCATCGTGACATCGTGACAATTGCATACAGATCCAGGGACAAAAGGTCCTGTGGGATCTGGTGTCTGGGATCGCAAAGCTTGCCAAGTTCTCTCAGAGGGACCCCAGTTCCTTGGCGTGAGCAGTTAGACAGCCTTTCCCATGCAGGAGCATCAGCCGGAGCGTAACTTTTATATCCTGAATTTGCTGTTCCAATTCCCCCTTTCAGTTTCTTGCAAAATGTCCTTTTGCCTCCTCCCCATCCTGTCTTCCCCGCAGTCTGCCTTGCTAGAAGCATCCTACCCTGCTTTGCCATGGTGTTCCCATAGTTCATAAACTGACTGGATCGGGAGAAATTATTCTGTTTATAAAACAGCACAAGCTGTTATGATATTGCTTGTCATAATTATGGACCTGATCCTACATGTACAGCCTTGACAGACCTACAGCCAGCTCAGTGTCCCTGGGTTGGAGGTAGAGATTTTTTACCTGCTAAATGTGAGTTGGTCTGAGGATATTAAAGCAAGTACTGAAGTAAAAATCCTCTCTCTCTCTCCAGGTCTCGTCAAAGCAGAGGACAAGGCAAAAGCCCATCGAGCCAAGAAATTGGAAGGGAACACCAATACAGAGGAGCTGAAAAAGAAACCTCCAGGAGCTGGTGTGAAGAAGGAAACGGCTGTGCATCTACCAGCAGGTGAGGCTGGTGGGGGCAAAGCACAGGCAGCAGCTCTGCGTGCAGCTTAGCTGCTTAGCCTGTGCCCTGCTCCAAGCTTGTGCAGTCCCCACCTTCATGCCGTGGTCCCCACCTTCACCCACAGCTCGTGCTCCCCGCACCCCTCCTGGCCCAGCGGGCTGTTTGCTGGGTGAGTTTTCTAGCAGGTTTGCAAGCAGAAGCAGCACAAAATTAGAAGTAGGAGCACGCAGCTCCTGCCCTTTTGAGGTGTAGCACAGACACGGGGACAGCCGCTGCTCCTAAAATATCAGTGCAGCCACGGTTGACATCCCCAAAGGGTTATTCTACCTTTGCTTCACTGCTAGGACAGACCACTTGCAAGTGCTGGATGATGGCGGCCAAATCCTGGTTCCACCTGGCTTCACTATGACCACAGTCTGTGTCAGTGTCTGGGATGATGGCATTTTTTCTAACATCATCTCTGTAAATGGTGCCAGTGCATAACTCTGGGCATAATTACATCTTCTCTGAGGTGCAGCCTACACCCTAGCACAGGTTGCTGACTTGCCTTGGGAGCTCCGACAGCAGGAGGAACGCAGGATGTGTGAGATAAACACAGCTGCAATGCCTTACACTGCTTTCAAATTCAAATAAATGACTCTCTCATCTCACAGCCGTGCAAAAGCATCCAAATAAACAGACTTGGCAGATTTTATTCAGACCAGGTTTCCCTTGCTGGAAGCCCAGCACTGTTCTGCTGAGAACACGGCATGAACTCTGGACCTAGGAGCAGGTTTTGGCCCCACATATCTCTTATTTTGGGTGTTTTTTTAAGCTGGTCACAGCCATTCAAATAAACACATGCCTGGAAGCTAGCACTCCCCTAGCTGCCTGTGTGTCTGCCGGGAAGAGGAGTGCCAGGGAAGCTTTCCAGGCACACGTCCGGATGGAGCCAAGGTGCTCACCTTTGTTTCACTCCCGCTAATTGTTTCATTTGGCAGGGGGGAGTTGTTCCACGCGGGGCAAGATGAGGTGGCCAGGGGTATCACTGTATTTTAACTCCCGGTGTGCAGGATACCAGTGGGGTTGGAAAGATGAACCTCCTTTTCCCCGTGAAATGCCAGCAGGTCAGGTAACCCCACGTGAAGCAGCCCAGTGACCCGGTTTGCTCAGGCAGCTGCAGGAGGTGTGGGGCAGGTAGAGCTGCAAGTGCCTGCATGGTTTGTGCCTGGGAGAGTATTTCTTTATTATTAACATCAAGAACTTTTCCCAATTCAGTGCTTTTCAACGCAGCAAACAAAGACTTAGGACAGCGCTGTCCTCTGCCGAGCAGCCCAGGCAGGTTGTGGTCTCTGCGGCTGGGTGTAACCCCTCTCTCCTCTCCCTCACCAGCAAACCCCGAGGACCAGTGGCAGCGGGAGATCAGCGAGAAGGGAGAAGTCGCCTGCCCAACCTGCAGCGTTATAACCAGGAAAACGATTGTGGGGCTCAAAAAGCACATGGACGTCTGCCAGAAAGTAAGGATTTGCTTTGTTCGGTCAGGCACATACGGATTTTGGTGGGGAATGGACGTGTACGTGTGCCAGTCATAAATGTATATTGGTGCTCCTAAAACCAGTTCTGGGCTGTGTTTGATAGAGCATTTGCTGGTCATCTTCAGGGAGCTGGCTGCCTGACATCGATTCAGAGGGATTTGGACACTTAATTCTCAGCGATTCTGAATCGCTTTGTGGTCTGGGCCCCTTACCCGACTCTGCTGGAGACACCAGGGCATTTCTAGTAGCTAAAGGAATAGTTTTAAGGCTGGAGAGATTGCTGGGGTTGTCTCTAATCTGGCTTCCTCCAGAGGCCTGGCTGTGGGATTTCACTGTGTGCCATGCCTTGCATCAGGCCAGATAAATTGCAGTTGAATGAGAGCACGTCTCAGGGAGACACCGAGCTTGGATATGCTCAGGCAGGCTGTTAAGATGCAGTTCAGTCCCGGTGCAGTGAAAAATTGTCTCTCTGTCACACTGCCATCCATCAGAGCGCAGGATTATGTCTTCATCCGTCACCTGACATGGTGCAGAGCCATCGCCACAGAAAGCCAACGTGGGATCGATGCCTCCCGCTTTGAAAATATGTGGCTCGGCTTTGATTCCACATTCATTTTCTGTAAATGCCTCCTCAGCCTTTGCCTCACTATTTATACAGCAGTGGGAAGTTACTCACCCTTTCAAACCCCGTACTACATCGATGCTGGGCAGAGTCCTGCCTCCTCTGACGTCCTCCTGGCTTCAGCAGAGTGGGGATCTCAGCCATCACTGCTCGTATCTCCTGCGCTTTGGAGCATCTCCCAGGCTCCACGCAGGCTCCACGGCTATAAATAGGCCAGTGGGTGTTCAGCCGAGGAACTGGGGCTCCAGCCCAAGGAGCGGGTGTTTTGGCACCCTTCCCCGGGAGGCACGGTCCTTGCTGGGGCTGGCTGTGCCTCTCCGCGAGCTGGGTTGCTTTGCAGCATCCCTGCCAGGAGCAGCCTATGGCCCAGGGAGGACAGTCCCCAAGCTCCGTGTGCGTGACCACAGGTCTGGTTCTTAGCATTTCTTCTTGGATTTGAACCTATGGCACCTCTTTAGCGAGGCCCTGCTGCTACGGGCACATGCTGTCCCCATCAGAAGTGACCCTAGAGTGCAGGCACCCTCTCAGCTTGCTCTCTACTTGAATGATTGAAATTTTTCTCATCTGGACAATGGGAAAAGGATATGCAGGCTCCCGAAACTCTTGTAAAACAACGGACATTGGTTCCTCTGTTCCTTGCTTGTCAGTAAACAGTCTGCCCCGTTTCCTTCGGTTTAGGAAAGGAAATAAGGGATGGGGCTGGTTGCAACATGCCCGGGGCCGAAGGAGATGAGGGCAGGTACATCCTCCCAGCGTCCCAGGTGGAGGGCTTGTTAGCATATGGACGTGGCATGTTCTTCAGCATTGACCGGAGGAATAAATCTGGCAATGCTGGCATTGGCATCTGATGAGTCAAGGAGATTTTAGCATCCAGCTTTTGGGATCAGCACTTGGTTTGGGAACAAGATTAACCAATGGGGGCACGGGTACAAGTGAGTCATTCCCAACTGGCTGCAGTGAATTTATTCTTCATTTCCCCAGAGTTCCAGGATGAGGAGGGATTTGCAGCTCCCATCTTCATCCCCTCTCCAGTTTCTAGTCAAAGGCTTGATTGAAGGGGAAGTGGTGAGGGTGGAGATCAGCCAGGCAGGAGGAGCAGGAACGGCCACTGCTGTCCAGGCACCGGCTCCCCATCGAGACATCCTGTCTCTTGGTGCCCAGAGTGGTCACCTCCTGAGTCAATAAATTCTGGTACCTGCCCCAGCAAAAATCATGATCTGCTTACTCACTTTGCAGATTCCCCCTGTACATTGGTGTGTGCATTTAGTGCATCTCCTCAGCCACTCGGGAGGCCAAGTCGGGTCAAAGAGCAGAGCAGTACAAGGAGGGAAGTATTCTGCTGTGATCGTGTCCAGCAGTGTCTTAATTTCAAACAGCCCAGGCACCCAGAAAGCGTACCATACGCCAGCATCTGTCGTAGTTAATAGGGCTGCAGAACACAGTCCGCTAACATATTGGTAGATCAAAGCATCTTCTCTTTTCTAACCCTTTAACAGGAAGGCTAAGACGCCAGGTCCAGATGTTTCCAGCCAGTGGGGCTTTAAATCTACATCCAAAATGGAATGTTTTCCAAAAGTTGGGGCATGTGGGTTTGATAACGGTATCCAGGACAACAGAGAGAAAACTCTGAGCTGCAGGCTGGGATTGGGATGGGGGACAGGGACATTGTGTGGCCTGCTGCATCCCACCGCTGGGTACTGCTGCGGCAACAGCTACCCACGGGGCTTAATGACGAGCAGCAGCAGCCCTTGGAAGAATGAACGTGGACTGTGGCCTCCACGGTGACTTGCCTTTAATTCCTTCAGCTGCAGGATGCCTTGAAGTGTCAGCACTGCAAAAAGCAGTTCAAATCCAAAGCTGGGCTGAATTACCACACCATGGCTGAACACGTCAGCAAGGTAAGAGAGCTGGGCTGCTCTCGTCTCGCACCTCATTTCTCGATGCAGAAGATGAAGCAATCGGCAGTCTGCTTCCCTTTGCCTTTGTAAAGGAGGGATTCACAACGCCATCTCTGCAGCATGTCAGATACTGCTCAGTCCAGGCGGTGGCCTTCCCCCTTCCCTGCCGAGCAAAGCCATTCCTTCCCAGGCAGCTAGTTAGGCTCACGTTGATCCTGGGGAGCAGAGCAGAGGACTGGAAAAAGTAAAACAGGATTTCAAATCCCCAAATGGGAAGATGCAGTGAGTACGGTGAGGTGGATTTTGAGTGGCAAAGCTCTGCCTCCAAAATCGCGCCCGAAAATCCGGGACTGATGGGTTCTGCCTTGCACGAATCTCAAAATCTGGTCTTTCGCTCTCCACCGTGCATGTGGGAAGTAGCCACAAAATTTATCATGACTAAAATCTGGCAGGCACCAATTTAGATGCCGTTCTTAAAAATCTGGTCGTGTACGTCTCTGAGATACCAGGGCAAGGCATAACTGCATTTCTGCATGTCCCGTGCTTACCAGTTGTGACTTGTCTTTTACCTGTGCATTAATCTCCTGCTCTTCAGTCTGGCTGGTGAATCCTCTGTGCAGGAACTGCTCCTGGGTTTCTCAGCTGGCCCTTTGGGTGCAAACTCCAGAAAGGCATGGGCAGATCTGGCACCTAATGATGAAGGCGTTGGCGTGCGGTAAAGCAGTGGGAGACCCAGCTCTTTTCATGAGAGGTTCCCCCCAGCCAAGGGCAGCTCCTGCGAGGCAGAGGTTTACCACCCACTCCTGGCACAGAGGACATGAGTAAATGGTTGACTCTGTCGCTTCTGTTACTTCCTTGTTTCCAGCCTGTTCCTGTGGAAACCGCTGGACTTGGTGAACAGGAAGCGCGGGAAAGGCTGAGGAAAGTGCTAAAGCAGATGGGAAAACTGAAATGCCCCAATGAGGTACGAGAACGATTCCTGTTTCTCGTTCTGTGAAAAGGTGGAAGGAGCGAGTCCCGATGCAGAGGAGGACGCGCACTCTCCAGGCATCCCTTGGCACGCGCTCAACTTTTCCACCTTAGCTCAGCCACCCCGGTCCCCATCCCGCTGGCTCCGTGCATTCCGGCGACGGGCCGTCCCGGCAGGGGGGCGGGCGTAGGGCAGGTTGAGGAGCGCTGAAGGGCAGGTTCTGCCTCCTGAACTGAGGAAGGGGCACACTCCTGGTCACAGCGTAAAACTTAAACCAAACCACACCGAAAAAAATGGTCACGAGCCGGTTGCAGACAAGTCACGAACAGGTAACGGGGGCGTGTGGCAGAGGTTTGTCCCTGCGGATGCTTTGCTCTCTGCCCAGGCAGTGCCTCCCCAATGCCTTCCCCTCCTGCTGCCCCGCCGTGTGTCTGTCCAGAGAGCCCTGTCGATGTGTTGGGGCAGGCAGCACTGGGAATGGGGGCTGCTCCCCCCATCCCTCCGTGGCACTGTCGCACCCGCACGTGTCTCTTTGGGGGAGAGGGGCCAACCAGCGATCCCGCATCACTCGGAGGGGACGGGTTGGAAGAGCTGCTCTGTGGAGGGGGCTCCTCGAGACATGTTCCTCCCTGGAGCAGCGGAACCCTGACTGTTTTGACATGGGCACGTGAAGCCCCAGCCCTCCTTAACCCTCCCCTTCTCCCCATCTCTTTAGGGCTGCATGGCCAACTTCTCCAGCCTGATGGGCTACCAGTACCACCAGAAGCGGTGTGGGAAGCAGCTCGCCGAGGCCGACAAGCCTGTCTTCAGCTGTCCACACTGCGGCAAGAAGTACAAATCCAAGGCTGGCCACGATTACCATGTGCGGTCAGAACACACGGCCTCGGTGAGCTCCCCGGACGCCTCCGCAGCCCGAGGAGCGGGGCCATCCCCCCCGGGGGGTGACTGCAGAGCTGCAGAGCCTTTGGGCAGGACAGAGCCGGGCAGGGCCGGGCCGGGCAAGGCAGGTGCAGACGTCAGACCGATGTTGTTTTCTCCTTCACGTCACCACGCGCGCGTGTTGTACCATGCGGTGTTGGGGGCGGGGGGGGGGAATGGGCTGCAGCCCCCTCTGCCCCTCTGAGAAAGTGGGGAGCTGCATTTACGGGAGCAGAGCATTTTGGCAGCATTCCCCATCCCTGGTGCCCGTGGGGCTGTGCTCCAGCCCACCCTGCATCCATGCTCTGCAGGGAGGGAAAAAAACCCAAACAGATCTCAGGCTGCTCGTTTGGCAGCAAGCAGGCACCGGCTGCTTGCCAGCGCTGGGGTGGCAGGATCCGTCCCTGGGCAGCATCCTTTTCTGTGCTGTTGATCCCTACTGACAGTGCATCCGACGCTAATAACTCCCCAAGTCTAATGAATGGAGACGTGTATACACGTGGGAGCGTGGAAGGATGCAATCAGTCCAGCGTGCGGCTCTCTGCCGGGCTGCAGGAGGCAAGGTGCTCCCCTTGTTCCCGTGTTCCAGTGCAGAGGCACGCTGGTGTCTCTGCAACCCTCGCTTGTGCAAAGCAGGTCTGCAAATGCACAGCCCAAATCCCAGCATCCCCGTCCCGGGGCCCCAGCGCTCGCTGCTTCATCCCTCGTCATGCCTTTCCTAACTCTTGTCTCTGTTGCAGCCTCCGGAGGAGCCAGTGGTGAAGCTGGAGCCCAACCCCATAGAAGATTTTGAAAGGACACCGAGCGGCCGCATCCGTCGGACGTCGGCCCAAGTAGCCGTCTTCCACCTTCAGGAGATAGCGGAGGATGAGCTCGCCAAGGATTGGACCAAGCGGAGGATGAAGGATGACCTGGTGCCTGAAACGAAGCGGGTGAGAAGCCTTTATTTCTCTTTTTTTTATGTGTGATGGCCATACATAGAGATCCTGAGATGCCAGCGTGGCCCCAGCTGGCTGAGGGCTCACGTGTCTCATTTTCTGTGCGTTAAATCAATTAGCTGTGATGGCAAATTTATTGCTGAAGAGCCCACCCAACACGGGCTGAGCCCCAGTGGTCTGGAGGCTCCATACAAACCTGGCAGCAGGCAGCTTTGCTCTTTCCACTGCGAGGACCCAAATCTAAAAGGAGCAAAAGGTGGTGCTTTGTGGGCGGTGGAGAGATCAGAGTCTAGCCCAGAGGATGTTGCGGAGGGAGGTCAGTTCTGGTCCGTGCTCAGCAGTGAAGGAGGGGCTGGCAGCCAAGAGGAGCACGTGAAGAGAGCAGAGGTCGGATCTGAGACAATCTCCCTTGCACTGCCAGAGAGCAAAAATGCCCCAGGCGGAATTTCCTCCCTTCCATGGCTCTCTCTTGATTTCTGGGAGATTTTTCCTTCTCCTCCTGCGAGGGGAGGAAGCTGGAGCGTGGAGGCAGGGCTGAGCCCTGCAGTCCCTGGCAGCGATGCATGCGTGGCCTGGTGCTGTGGGATTTCCGTGGGGAAAGTCGGTGCCCTGGCAGTCTTGAGCTTCGTGGAGGCATTGGAGTAACACGTTAAATGAAATGTGACGGGAGGAGGTGATTCCTGGGAGTGTCCCAAAGCTGAAATTCCCTCCAGGAATGCTGCTCCTGGGCTGTAAAAGGAATGAAGCAACAGCAGCAAATCATAAACCTTTTCAGTGTAAAAGAAAAAAAAGAGAGGGAGTTGGGAGTTTTTTAATCCTGTAGTCGATGCTTTTTGGCCAGCACTGGGACTCAACTCAGAGCCAACCTGCAAGTCTTTGCACAAGCTGCAGCCTGTTTCCTGAGCAAGTAACTCCGCAGTTAGGTGCCGGATCTTTTCCTTGCTCTGAACAGTTGTGTGCCTCTCATCCAGTGCTCCGAAATTCCCCCTGGGCAGGAGATGGGGCACGTTGCAAAGAGGGGAATGAGGGACAGAGGGAAGCAGGTGAAAGCTTTGCCGCAGCAGGAGAGTGTGGCGGGGCCTCTGCCATGAGCGTGCAGGACAGCCCCAGCCCCGAGGACCTGCCTCGAGCAAGGCAAACAGCCCAAGTCCCAGAGCCAGCCTGGAGAAGCGATGCGGCTCGCTCCAGAAAAATGGGTGGCCCAACAGCAGAGCATCAGCAGAAATGCCTTCCCGCTGCCGCAGCCTGTCCCGGCACGCGTGTGCTCTCGGCAGAAGTGCCGCCGTCATCCTGCAGAGGCCTGGAGGAGCTCAGCCTGACTCGCCTCCCAGCCTGCACGTGGTGGGCAGGTGAAAAACCAGCACACAAACAAACCAGCATCTTCTTTACCTGCCTTGGCATCCCCGTGAGGCGGCTGGCGCAGAAGGGGATTTGGCCACAATGCCCCTGTGTCCGCCTTGGAGCAGAGCTGGGGGTTTTTTGGGCCAGAACTGGTTGCAGACTTTTTATTTCCCCAGTGCTTGGTGCTCTCGTTGTCGGTTTCCAGATGACTTCAGCTGCAGTGCATTTATAAGGTAAAAAAATGAAGCCCAAAGTAGCTGTTTCATTTCAAATACTGTGGGAGGTGTGGTGCTCGCTTCTCCCCGCTTCAGCCTCACCACTTGCATTCCTCTCTTTCCTCCTTGAATTGCTCCCCTTACTCTTGACTTTGGGTATTTTCTGTTTGAATTGAGGGAGCAGCCAGGAGTCCCAGGCCTGGACAAGGGGCCCATGCGTAAGCTGACATACAAAGGCGTCGTAAAGGTCTCAGCCGCTGGCACAATTGCTCTGTGAAATGCTGTTTGTGGTGGTGGTTTGGTTATTTTCTATGAGACATTTCTTGTGTTCAGAGTCTAGTTGTTTTAAGTTTAATTGTGCCCCGTCTTGGCGCTCAAAACCAAAGAGAATTGCTGTGAGGTTTGCATTGCAGATGAGCAAGGGGGGAGCTGGACCAGCTCCCAGGTGGCAAAAGAAGGCTCCTGGTCTGGAGGATCAGGACCTCGGCCCCTGCACGGGCTGCTCTCCCCGGCCGTGCTGGCCGTGTGTCGCACAGATGGATTTCAGAGGCGGTCGGCGCGGTGGGTGAATACGTGTGTAGCTGTGAGCGTGCCTGCGGGTGCGTCTTGCAGTGACTCTCACGTTCCCTTGACAACACTTTAAAATATAATCTGTTCAGTCTACGACATTTTTTTCTCGACGAGCGGTGCTGGAAGGAGGTGGGAGGCAGGTTCTGCTCAGGGAGGCTGGTGGGAGCTTGCTGACTTCAGCACACCCTGTGCTGCTCCGCTGAGCGGCGTCTTGCATCCATCAGCGCTGGTCTACGTTTACAAGTTGCTTGGGTTCAGGGTGCGGAAAAAAACCCTTCCCAACTGCGAATGACTCAGACACGCCAGCAAGCACCCAGTTTGACCCTGTTACAGCCCCAGGAATAGCCCTTCCCTCGGAACTGGCTTCAGCCGTGCTGGCAGGACAGCTCTGTGGCGGGTCCAGCCCCAGGCGGCGCGGGAGGCTCGGAGGAGCGGGCAGTGTCCCCACGTCCCCGTGCCACCGCCCCGCTGAGCGCGCGTGGTGGCCGTCCCTCCAAGGGAGCTGACAACCCAGAGCCACTGGAGCTGCAGGAAGACGGAGACCAGTGAACCATGACCGGGGCAGTAGGGCTGATGGTTCCCAGAAGAGCCACCACGCCACCGCCTCTTCTTCCCACGGGCCGTATCCAGCCCTTGGGAGTACGCTGCCAGGCCCACAGCCCCACCTCGCTGCCTTGGACCTGGAGGGAGGTGGGGTGCAGGGGATCGGCAGCAGATTGTGGCCGCTCTTGCACCATCTCAGCAAGACCTGGGGATTCCCAGGATCCCAGAGGGATGGATGCTTCCCGGCTCCAGTCTGTAACCAGTGATGGCTGGATGCACCTGGACTTGCTGCGGCACAGGACCCGCTCTGTCCCCAAGCTCTCTGGTTACCCGCCTCGGTCCCAGCAGTCAACGTGGATTTCAAGGGCGCAGATAAAGAAAGCCACCCCTCCTCTCCATCCCTTCTCCAGGCAGCAAAACTTTTCCCCAGGGGAAGGCAAGCAGCTCCTCAGCAAGCCGATGGGATACGGGGGTTCGCAGCCCCCTGGCAGGCATGGCCCATGTGGCAGCCGGTCCCAGCCGGGGAGCGGGACGTTGGGTTTGGATCCCGTTGGTGGCCCATGGTGGGGTGCGTTCGCCTTTCCCCAGGAGGATGGATTCCTTCGCACCAAAGCAATGGCATTAGAATAAACGATTGCTGCTCGATCCCAGGCCCTGCGCTGCCTTCATTCTGTGCTAACCAAATCCAGCATTTCTAAATATACACTGGAGTCTTATTTTCTCGCTCCGATCTTTATTTGCCTCTGGATAAGCTGAAACAGATGGGGTGTTTCACAACAGCCGCTTGCTGGGGATGTCAGATGGAGAAGGGCACACCCCTGCTGCTTTTCTGGGAAAAATCCCCTTTCCAGAAGCTCCATGAAGATGATGCCGATCCTCCGACCCTCCTCTGGGGCCATCGCCTGCCCACGAGCAATCTCAGGGCTGCCACAGAAGGACCGAGAGGCCGGCAGGTTCCCAGCTCGGTGGTACGGGCAGGCGGTGGTAGACTCTAGGATCTGGTGGGGCATGATGCCCTTACACGTTTTGGAGGCTGGATTGAGAGAAACAGCCTCCTCGAGCAGAGTGAAGAGGCATCTAAGGGGCGAGAGAGGAGGAAACGCCATGGAAAACTCACTGTTCCATGGTGTGATGCCTTCCCCGTGGAGCTCGAGGTGGGGTGCCTTGTCTCAAGATGCCTCGAGCTCTGTGCTGGAGGTGGTGGTGGGCTCCTGCATCCCAGGCAGCCCCCGTGCCGCGCAGGGAGGGATGCAGAGATCCTCCGTGGGGTGCAAGAGCACCCTGTTCGCCTCCCCTGGTCTGGGGTGTTGCTGCAGGGCTGGGGGCAGCCATGGAAGCTGCACGTCCCCCGGAGCGTGGTGGGGTGACGGGGGTCCAGAGCGAAGGGCTGCCGTAGGCCAGGCATAAAGCTAAAGGGGAAAAGTTGTCTCCAGGCTTGAGTTTTTAAGAAAACCCCATCCTGAAGCCAGGATACAGTCCAGAGCAGAAGACCCTGGCTTGGGTTGATCCCCCAAAACAATGGCCCTGCCGTCCGGGTGGGAGCCAGGCTGAGCCCTGCGGGCTCATGTCACTGATGGGCCAAACCAGATCCCAGCTCCAGCTGCGGACCCAGAGCTCGGCGCAGCCCAGTCCATCCTTCCTCCCCTCGCTCGGCAGCGCTGGCGTGGAGCGACCCAGCTGCCCGGAGCCGCGTATGGGACCCGGCTGCCGGCCAGCGCCCCGGGGTGTGTTTTGGCTTCACCTCCCGGACAGCATCGGCCGCAGTTTCCACGGGGCGATGGGAGAACTGTGCCTCGTGCTGGGGACCTCGGTAAGGCTTCCAGGGGAGCTTGTTGGCCGGGGCCGAGGCAGCCTGCATGGTTCTCATTTACTGCGATATATTTTGGGGAAGGGGAGAGCTGTCTAGGGAGCGGAGAGGATTGAAATATGAAAGTTAATTAAATAAAACCATCAGTCAAAGAAAACAAGCCTTCCCACCCCAGCATCCTTCAACTGTTCAGAGGAGATGGGCTGCGGCCAAAACCAGTTGTAGTCGTTTAATGATTTGGCCATGAAGATTTTCACTTACAGGCTGTTTGAGGAAAATAAATGGGGGGGAAAAAAAAAAAATATTCCATGCCTGGGGCTCCCTCTTAATAGAGACATAAAGATGACTTTGACATTCCCAGAACCACAGCGCCCTGGGAAGACATGGGATTTGCATGTTATTGTGCAGGGCTGTTGGAGGAGAGCGGGGAAGGAATTTTCTCTGGAGTGGGAAGCCGGAGCAGCAGAGTCCGCATCTCTGAACATCCCCCCTTGTCTCTTCCCCGGGGACGCGCGGAGGGAGAGGTTGTTGCTGGGGCTGTGTGCAGTTACCGTTAATGTTTGCTCATTCATGGGACTGATTGGTTTTTAATTAAGGAGGCCGTTTGGCATCCTGGCTCTCAGTATCAATGACAAAAAGGGACTCCTGTGTTCTCCCCTGGAGGTGGCGTTGCCTTCCCCGGGCGGGGGACCAAGCGGTTGGTAGATGCACCATTCCAGCGCTTCAGAGGGCTCTGCTGGCATCTCCCCCAGCCGCAAAGCACGACAGAAGAGCAGCACGCTGGGGCTCGGGGGATTTTTCCACATCCGTCCTTACCAGCGTTCATAGCACTGTTTCGCAAGGCCCTTTGCCCCTGCCCCTCGCGCAGAGCCCAGCTCCCCCCGGGCTCCCTTCTCCTCCGGCCGTGCCCCGCCGTGTGCCAAGGTGGGGGCCGCAGGGGCTTGTGGATCACTTAAATTTGGGTGGAAATGAGCAGTCGCCGTCTGAGCCACCCCCAGCCCTCGGTGGGAGCTCCCCTTTGCAGGGAGGTCTGGGAGCAGCCTGTTGGAGGGAGCTGGATATAAAGGCAAATTCGCAGCTTCATCAGCACATTCAGGAAAAATCTGAGCTGGGAAAGAAACCCAGCCAGCCGCCTCCCCGCCACGTCGGAACCTCGAGCTCTGCGTCCTAAGGGCACGTTCCGAAAACAGGGCCTGGGTTTGCACCTCTCTGCAAGCACCATTGGTCTGTGTATCCTCCCCGGCCGGCACGGATGCGTCAGTGGAGCCGTGCCCTGCGCTTGGAGGTGCCCACAGAGCGCAGCACGTGTTCGGGTACCCGCACCCGTAGGGTGCCACATGCAAGCTCACCCAGCCCTGCTCCGACTCGGGGCAAGTTTGGGGCTTGGGACCCAAGCGACATCCATCAGACCTGGCAGAGCTCGGTACGTTGGGCTGGGAGCTGTGCTGGCGTGGTCGAGCAGCAGGCAGGCTGGCAGCTCAGGGTGCTGGCAGAGCAGCCCCGTGTCCCCTGCGGACCTTGCCGTGGTGGCACGGTGACGGGCAGAGACCAGCCCCACAGGTAGGGCCGAGCGTGGTGGCCGGGGGACACGGAGATGGCACAGAGATGCCGCAGCCGTGTTTGCTTGTGCTGAACATGCAGAAAATGGAGTTGGGAAGGCCGGTCCGCTATGCTAAACCTCAAAGTCACTAATAAAGCGGTAATTAAAAGCACTTGGAAGGAGCAGCCCTGCCAGAAGGAGAGGCAGAGACACAAGAGCCTTTCATTGTTTAACGGGTTGTGCCCATTCATCGGTGGAAGGCAGCCATGGAGGCTCTTGGCATCCGTCCCCTCTGCCCAGCATGCAGGGTTCTTTATTTCCCCGGTTATGAAACGTGGCAGAAGGGCCACGCCGACACGATGCACCAAAAATGCCGGGTCCAGGCCTGGCCCCGCCATGGAGCAGGAGCAGGAGCCTCCTCTCTCCCATTTCCCAGCAGCACATGGAGGTGCCTGCAGCACCGGGGTCCCCTGCCCTGCCCCTCGCCCCCAGCCCAGCTGCCGCCTCGCCGGTGGCTCAGGAGCGGGCAGAGCCACCCCCCTGCTGCGCCGTGCCCGGGGGGGGGATGACATCTCCGGGGGAAGCCTCCCAACTCATTTTCAGCCCCAATTCACTTCTCCGGGAGCAGGGGTGGGAACAAGACCCATGTGAAGAGCGAGGACTCCACCGAGGGCCGGACTGGTGTGTGCCGCTCTGCTAATCATCTGCTATTGTTTGCAGCTCAATTACACCCGACCGGGGCTTCCAAAGCTCAATCCAAGGCTGCTGGAAAACTGGAAGAACGAAGTGAAGGAGAAGGGCCACATCAACTGTCCCAACAATGTAAGGACCGTCTCTGTTCTTCTCTGGGCCAGCTGGTCTCGGTCTGCAGGAGGAAGGGGGGATTTTGGGGGGCAGAAACCCACCAAAGCCAGGTTCTTGTTGGGCCCTGGCGTGACTCTCGGTTCACCCCGTTGCCCTGGGGCTGCTGCCATGCCTGGTTGACGCGTGTCCCAACTTTGGCACCCTCCTGGTGTGTTCGAGCCGCCGGGCGTGGGGACCAGGCCCCCCTCTCCTCCGGTGCCCTTGGGGCTGACGGTTCGCCGTTGCCCGATTCAGGCTCTGGAGCTGCCTTTGGGGAGCTCCTGAGACCCAGACGGGGCGAAGGCTGCACGCTCTGCGCTCGAGAGCCTTTTTACGCAGGGAACCTGCTTTTCCCAGAGTAAAGCTGGGACTGGTTTTAAGCCATTCTTTTTAAAGCCCTGTGACAGGCAAAGACCTCGGGGACGTGGTGCGTGTCCATGCCGCCTTGGCCTGAGCTGGCGGGGAGGTGAACTCCACCCTCGTGCTGGGCCGTTGATTTATCATCTGAAACAAAGCCTTGCTAATGGGAGTTTTGAATGAGGCTGTTACCGCAGGGCCAGGGGAGACGCGCTGGCTAATTAATGTCATACACAGGCACTTTGAAAAGACGTTGCTCAGAAACTGGTCATGCTGCTGCCCGGGTGATTTCTCTTCTCCGTTAAGCGTCTGCTGTGGCTCCAAGAACTCCTGTAGCCCAGCAGGACCTCCCGACTGCTCACAAATGTACGTTTTCCACGGAGACGTTTAGGGGAGACGTTTTTCAGCCCGTTGCAGAGGGATGCGGCCACATGACTCCCATTAGCACTAATAGGAAACGTGTGACCAGAGCCCTCCGCGTCTCGCAGAGCATTAACCTCACGCTGCTTAGCCTGGACCGGTGGCCTTGCTGGCGCAGCCGGCTCCTGGCCCTGGCTCGGAGGAAGGCATGGAGACGAGGGGGGATCGTGGCAAACCCTGCTTTGTTTCTTTCCACAGTGCTGTGAAGCCATTTATTCCAGTGTCTCGGGGTTGAAAGCTCACCTGGCCAACTGCAACAAGGTAGGTCCCTCCTTTTACAGCCTCGGCTTGGAGATGGGGTTGGGTTTTGGTTTTCTGTCCCCCCAGGATTGTTGGGAAGCAACAGGCCGAGGGCTAATGGCGTGGTTTAAAGGATCATGACCGCTGGGAGGGCTGGCCAAGCCATGCCGCTGCCCGTCGAGTTGTCACTGCTCAGCCCATTGTCACACCATCCTGGTCAGGCCACTGGCCCTCAGTACCATCCTCCTGGGCAGGATCAAACCCATGACCACAGGCAGACAAAGGCGGAGAGGCTCAGGCCAGGCAATGTGACAGAGGGGAGGGAGCTGCTGCCCCAGCCCTGGAGGAGAGGTCTCACCATGCAAATGTGTCCCTGAGAGCCCAGACCTCCGACATGCCGAGTGCCTCGGAGATGTGGGGCGATGGGAGCAAGCCCGAGTGCCTCGGAGATGTGGGGCGATGGGAGCAAGCCCGAGTGCCTCGCTTCCTCCCGCCTTGGCGTCCCCGTCCCGCAGCAGCCCCTGCCCAGCGTGGCTTCTGCAACCCCTGAGTTGTTTGCGAGCCTTTGGCTACCCAGCGCGTCCAGCACCTCATGCACAGCCACACATTGACCGCAGCAGCTCAGAGCCGGGGAGCTGGGCGTTGGAAGCGGAACGTTTTCTGAGGCAGGTGGGAATCTGGGCGTCTTTCTCCATTGATCTGGGCAGCCCTGCGACGCCTCTGGAAGCCCAGCATTTTCCCCATCTGGAGAGACACCAGTGTGATGCCTCCTGGGGATGGAGCTGGGGCTGGAAGAGGCGGCCGGTCCGTAAACCAGTGCCCTCTCGCTCAACAGAGCAGCAGCGCTGCCGGCTGCAGTGAGCTCCGGTGGCCTGCAGCCGCCACAGGGGAGGGATCGGGAGCTCAGCGTAGGTCCCTCAAATTGGAACTGAAGTAAGAGCTGGTAAAGCTTTTATACCCTGAAACGTTTCCAGCTGCAGCTTCCATTGAATGGAGCTTCCAGGAGGCAGCTCCAACACATACCCCGTGGTTATTAAAAACACAAACTCCCGCGCTCCTCCAGCACTAGCTGGAACGTTGAACCCTAATGAGATCATTTAGAAAATGGGCTGCAGAGATCCGGCAGAAGAAGCCGTATTGATGGAGGATAAAAGTGCAAACACAGGAGATGGGGGCAGTTCCTTTGCTAGCCTGCAGCACCGGGCAGCCCACCAGCAAACGGCCTCCGAGAGAAAATGGAGCCATTTTCTGGCTGATTCTGTGCACAGAAAGCAGCCAGGCATTTGCACGAGCAGTTTCTGTAACCGCAGAGCTGCACCTTCCAGGTCTGGTGAGTCCGGCGTAGCCAGGGCTGAGCGCTGGGGGTCAGCTCAGGGGGAGTTTGCTGCTTCGTGTCCCCCACGTGCTGCCGCCAGCAGGACTCTCGCCCTTACAGAGGATTTAGTTTTGCAATGGATACGTGTGCCACCGAATCTGGCGTAAATCACAGCCCCTCCTGAGCTGGCCTGAGATTTCTGCTGTAAAATCCTGCCGAATTGGTTGAAAATACATCAAACCTTCCTGAGAGCGGAGGATGCTCCCGGGCAGCGCCCCGTCCTCAGCGGGGATTGATGCACCGAGGTGATTCTTCTGCATGAATATTTCTGAAGGCAGCCTGCAAGCGGGGCCAGGCCTGCCCGCGTCCCACCCGCCCCTGAAATGAAAGACCTGTCCGACTCCAGATTTACAGCACGGAGCCAGCTATGGAGAAACTCCCAGGGAGCATATATATATCGCCTGGAGGGGCCCATCCATAAACCCCTCGTCAATCGAGAGCGCATTATCTCCCCTGCGCCGTGAACTGCGGCAGAGCCGGGAGATCAGTCATCCCCCCCAGGGCTCTCGTGACAGAAATCCAGCAGTCGCCGCATCTCTTTGACGGCGTAAAAGGAAAATTAAGTGAGTCTGCTGGACGTAAATTAGGTGGCGGTTCAGTCCCAGGAGACCACAAATCTGCTGGCAGTGAGGAAATGGGGCGGTGGGCCCTGTCGGCCTCCCAGATGCCCAGGGACACAGACGGTGGTGGTGGTAAGGTAACAGCGGGTGTTGGGGATGCACAGGCAGCAAAACCTGCCGCTCGCTGCCCTCCGAGCTTCCTAGGACCCGGCACTTTGGTGCCTGGCACCGGTGCCACAACAGCCAGCACCACCAGCGCTGCAGCGGCACAACCGGCACGGGCTGAAATTCAAAGCAGGAGATACGGTTGTGAGCTTCTGGCCTGGGACCGGGGGCCGGCAAGAGATCTGGTGGTTTAGAAATGAGAGCGCATTATCTCCCCTGCGCCGTGAACTGCGGCAGAGCCGGGAGATCAGTCATCCCCCCCAGGGCTCTCGTGACAGAAATCCAGCAGTCGCCGCATCTCTTTGACGGCGTAAAAGGAAAATTAAGTGAGTCTGCTGGACGTAAATTAGGTGGCGGTTCAGTCCCAGGAGACCACAAATCTGCTGGCAGTGAGGAAATGGGGCGGTGGGCCCTGTCGGCCTCCCAGATGCCCAGGGACACAGACGGTGGTGGTGGTAAGGTAACAGCGGGTGTTGGGGATGCACAGGCAGCAAAACCTGCCGCTCGCTGCCCTCCGAGCTTCCTAGGACCCGGCACTTTGGTGCCTGGCACCGGTGCCACAACAGCCAGCACCACCAGCGCTGCAGCGGCACAACCGGCACGGGCTGAAATTCAAAGCAGGAGATACGGTTGTGAGCTTCTGGCCTGGGACCAGGGGCCGGCAAGAGATCTGGTGGTTTAGAAATGAGTGTTTGTTTGCTTTGAGGTTCAAGCATCAACCTCCCTTCACAGCAGGGAGCTGGGGGGGGGAGCCGCCCCTCCAGGGCGTTTTTGGCTCTGCCTGGAGCTGCAGGAGGATGCTCTGTCTTGCAGGGGGACCACTTGGTGGGCAAGTACCGCTGCCTCCTGTGCCAGAAGGAGTTCAGCTCCGAAAGCGGGGTCAAATACCACATCATCAAGGCTCACTCAGAGGTAAGGAAACGGCTGGGGCTGGTCCGGGCTGGTCCCTGCTCCCAGGCACCCATCCTTGGGCTGTCCATCCATGTCAGCCAAGAGAGGAGCACAGCAGCTCCCAGCAGCATCAGCAACACTGTGGTGACAGTCTCAGGGGGACCTCCCTGTCACCCTTTTGGGTCCCCAACGCCCCCAGGCTGGCTGCAGCTGCTCTGTGCTGGCCAGCTTGTCCTCGGGGAGGGGATGCCAGCGGGGCGTGGGGAGGTCCAGGCGTGGGCAAGCGAGGCGTGGGTTGTGCGTGCCGGTGCCGGGCCCCAGGATGGTCACTAACCCCCCTTGTCACCCCATGGACACAGAACTGGTTCCGAACCTCCGCCGAGGCCAGCCGGAAAAAGAAAAGCAGGGAACAGCTTTCTTCCAGCAAGGAGGAGAAAAAGAAAAGCACAAGTGGGAAGAAAAGGGGGAGAAAACCCAAGGAGAGGCCTCCAGAAACATCCCCGAAGGGCAGAGAGAGCGTGGCAGCAAAGACTAATCACAAGAAAACCCTCGAGCACTGGGAAGGCTCCCGAAGCAGCCCCGACGGGGACGAGCGCGTCCCCAAGCCCCCGAGCCAGCGGAAGGGGGGATCCAGTAAGATGCCCGAGAAATGAGCAGCTCAGAGACTCGTCTCCGAGGATTCGTTTACAGCCCAGGGTAACAGGGTGGGGGTCTCTCCCGGTTTTCTGTCCCCATCCCACCTCCCCACCCTCCACTCACCCCCTTTTTAGCAAAAAAAAAAAAAAAAAAAAAAAAAAAAGGAAAAAAAAAAAAGAGACAGAAAATACCAATTAACCACTTTAAACAAATCACGGACCTTGTTTCACACTGGAAAACAAACAGGATCAAGCAAGCTGGACCGTTCTCCACCCCCTGCCCCTGTGCATCCCCCCCTGCCTGCTCCCCAGCCCGGCGGGACCCCGCTGCCCCCCCCCCGCCCTGCCCATGCCTC